AGCCTGAAATATGTAACAGGTAAATTAATCCAATCTATTTTAAACTGTAACTGGAAATAAGATGGAGTCCCACGTCTCCATCAGCTGCCAGAGAACTCAACGAATAACTAAGTTTATAGGAACTTTGTAACTTAATACACTGAGCCACACATGCCTGTCACCTTACTGCACCAACTCTAAGATACTTGCTGTTATTTTCATGCCCATCCATGGCCTATAAGCCCCGTACCCATCAAATCTCAACTGTCCCTACATTATCCCTACATGAATGATGCTGATGTCAGTTAACACAGTCCAATTTTTATATTTTAAAATACTTCTGGATTTTTCTCGGATCACACACCACACAGTCCAAAGTTCTCCGTAAACATTTGCAGAACTCATTATTTTCATCAAAAAGCCTCCTTCAAACCTTTTCACCGTGTCATTTATGGTTATTAGCTGCCATATTCACTGCTGACTTGGGTTTGTATAGAGGTATATCTCATTATTTGCTTATACTAATGCTGTGTACAATGTATTTTTCTGTTATCTTTACACTTAGATTGGTAAGTCACTGGCAAACAGAACTGGGTGGGGGGTCTGCTTGTTCAAGGCTGACACAATGAGGTCTAACTTGTATTTGAGGTTGCTGGACAGGGTCAGATATTTTCTTGCCTGTCTTGCTACTGCTAACCCTGTGACCTACTTAAAAATGTTAAGAAATGAGGAAGGATACACAATTACTAAAAATTAAACAAGTATCTGTATCATCTCTAATCTAGCTCTGGGGAGAAACAACAGCCCCAAATACTTGTCTACCCTCATGGAATTAAAATCATACTTCCTCACGACTACATCTTGCTGGAATTACAACTGCTTGCCTTCAACCACTTTTTTCTTCTCTGCAGAATCGTGGAGCTGAAGCTGGAAAGGACCTTGGGAGAACATCTAGTCCAATACCTATACAGGGTGCTTCTGAGGAGGGACCCAGAACAAAGGGGACCCCTAGGCACTTACTCCCTTACACTCCACATTCCCAACCCATCACCTGACAGCCCGGACCAACAGTAATATTAGGGCAGGAGGTCTGTCTGCTTTGGATGGGTTCCTTCTGTCACATCTAGGTGAGCTGCTTTCTCCCATCTTCGCATCTAGAAGCTGCCAGTGGGCGCAGAGGCTGTCAGTGTAGTCTTTATCTTGCAGTTTGAGCCAGCTCCGTGGCCTTCCTTCCCTGAAACTGGGTAGAAGTTCAACAGCCTGCAGCCTTAGGCTTCAGCAACCGTAGCTACTTGTACTAGGCAAGCTGCGTACAAGACTCCTACATACAAGCAGCGTGCCAAATTGCACAAGTCTCCTCATCATAAAAGGGTATCAGGTTGGCCATGCCTGATTTCTCCCCTTCATAAATCCATGCTGGCTACTCCCAGTCTTCTCCCTGTCCTTCGGATGGTTGGGAATGGTTGCCAGGACTGTTTGCTCCACCACCTTCCCAGGGACTGAGGTGAGGGTGAGGGGGTCTGCAGTCCCCCAGACCCTCCTTCTCAGAGACAATGGTAGTGCTTGCTTATTTCCAGTCCTTGGGAACACCCTCCAGTCACAAAGATCCTTCAAAGATTATCAGACATGGCCTCTCAGAGACAAAGGCCAACTCCCTCACACTCACGGGCACCTCATCAAGTCCCTCGGAGTTATTCACATCCAGTTTCTTTACGTGTTCCCTCCGCTAACCCTCTTCCACCGAGGCTAGGTGTTCCTCGCTCCTTTTCAAAATAATTTCATTTTTATCCTAATAACGAAAGAAATTCCAGTATTTTGCATTACCTATCTGAAGGAGAAAAGCTAAGATCCATTTTCAGATACATCCTGGGCTCCTTGCACTACTCCACAAGAGTATTATAATACAAGCCAGTGTTTTTCACATTTCTCTGGATAAACACGGAAAGCACAGGTGCTATTTGAGGGGTGACCAAGATAGCTAGGGGGCTGGAGGACACGACGATGAGAAGAGGCTGAAAATTGATTTTTTTTTTAGTATAAGAAGAGAATACATAAGGAAGGTCTCGGTATATTCTGTAATAACAACCTGCTGCAACTGGACCACCTCTCAGCAGTGATGCGGTCTAGGTTAACCCTTCCAACCTGTATGATTCTATGACTACATGGCCTCTTCCTATTTAAAAAGAACTTGATCAGATGTAGAAACAGCACTAGAAGGAAGTACACCTCAGTTCCTTTCTCAATAGGCTTCAGTGAAATATCTATCTTGTCACTTTCCCAAGACCCATGCACCTTGTCCTCATTTCTGCCTAGATCACCTCTGTCCGTGGGCAAGAAGCATCTCATGAACGCCAGCTTCAGTTGCATAGTTAAGGAACTTCACCAGAAAGCCAGACCTTTGGGTTTTCATACTCTCAAGTCAAACCAAAGCTTGGGGTGAGCTGAAAGGGTAAATAAAGTGGTTACCCAACTTCTCTGCTCAAGTCTTACCTTCAAAACAAACTTAGTCATTCTGAATCCAAAGCAGAGGCAGCTAGTGTAAAGCCCTAAATAAGCCACCTGAGATCTACACTGTCCAGCTTTTCCAGTTGACTGGCTTTAAACAGGCAAGTGTGCCTTACCAGCAGGCACCCTGACTCATGGTAAGCACTTGGGGTCCTCCTGCAAGCGACAGAGGACAAGAGTTTCCAAAGAATGGTTCAGAGCACCTGTAATGGGTCGTTTGGAGGTTCCAAATCCTACTTCAGAAGCACTTCCCCTCCTTCACTCACCTTCACAGTCTCAACAAATGAAGAGTTTAAGCAATGAGATTCATCCCAGCTACTGCCTAGAACTGTGCACTGCAGGCTCTGCAAATACTGGACTAAAGATCAACAACAACCAAAATTATGGAATGGCTTATGTACAAGGAACAGCAAGTAGGAAATAACTTCTGGTTATCACATCTCTCCTCAGCTGGATTTTTTTTCTCATGCTGTTTATGAAAACACAGATCAGAAGCTGAAAAGCAAGAGTTCACTGTCATGTATCATCACTCCAGGAGAGTTATTTATTAACTTAGAGAGCCAGCTGGAGTTACAAAACTAAGCTCTGAAGGGCAATTCTGTTACTGCATGTTCACTACTATTACAGCATAAATTCAGTTAATCCGCGTGGAGCAACATGCATGGAGCTAAGACAGGGGAAGGTCAGGCTATATATTAGGAAAAGGTTTTTCACTGAGAGGGTGGTCAGGTACTGGGACAGGCTCCCCAGGGCAGCGGTCATGGCACTAAGCCTGCTGGATTTCAAGAAGTTTAGCCCCTCTGTCCTTTGGACAATACTCTCAGATATATGGTCTGATTTTTCCCTCTTGGGCCCTTTGGGGACCTAAGAGTTGGACTCAATGATCCTCGTGGGGCCCTTCCAACTCGGGATATTCTGTGATTCTGTGCATTACAATAAAGCAAAAGAATTTCGTTGAGACACACGTGCACCCCTCTGAAAACACTTCCTTCCCCTCCCTGCTCCAAAACCACCATTTCAACATCCTCCATCAAATAGTGATGACATGACAAACAACAAAGAAAACCTATCACTATTGCAACGTGACATGGGACCATTTCCAATACACACAGAGTAAAAGGGAACTCAGTGAATTTCAGGATTTGTCTTTTGGGAATGGGAAATCACAGAGTAACATATTTCTGCTAAGGACAGAACTTCGGGTTTTATTCTGTTACCATTCCCGTGTTACAGGTAGGAGGACGGTAAGACACAAAGCAGACATTCGAGAGAAAAGCTCAATGTCTCCGAGCTCTGAAACGGGTTAAAGAAGCACAGGATAGAAACCTCAAGATACTGGGTAATGTATCTTTGTCCTCCCTGATGTATCAAAGTCTGGTATGATAACAAAGAGCTCACCAGACAGCCCTGCTTAGGGTCCTTTAGCCTAGCCCTACACAGAGCTAGGCACATTTGCACTTTTGTTTTCAAAACTTCCCTTAAAAGATTGTCATTAGACAGCTCACGTTTCAAGGAAGAAACCTCCCCAAGGTAAACTACCAAAAAATGCCTACCTCTGGCTTTTCCTACTGCTGTATAATTAATAACGTTAACAAGAAAAGAAGAAAATAAAAGAAGTTTGAAATCACTTTTTTTCACAAAGATCCTGGGTAAACACAGTCATGGACAAGCAAAGGCGTCATTATGCAAAAGACACTTGCAGAGGGAGGAATGCCTTTTATTAGGCCAACTGATACAGCTAAAAAAGATAAAATAAAAAGAAGAAAGAAAGCCCTCCGGGGGGAAAAACAAACCTAAGAAATCACCCTTCCCATATATCTGATTTCCTTTCATGCTCAGAAAAGACAAGCGGTGTAATGCACCGAGCTTTACTCAGCTTGCTCTGGGCACTCAGCTTCCTGTTCTGAAACTGAAAGAAAGAGCTTTTGTGCTAATTTAGCGCTGCTGTTAAATTAGTGCCAGCCCTTACCTGACTCGAGGTATTTGCTCAAAGACTCGTCCAGCGGAGGCAGCGGCAGCGAGGGCAGCGAGCTCTGGTACTGAAATGTCCGCTCCTCGGCCGACTCCTGCACTTGCTTCTCCATGTCGCAGGCCTGCAGCACAACGCCAGGGCTCTCGATGAAGCTGAAGGCAGAGGAATGATTTCCCTACCCCGCTCCCTCTCCCCGAATCCCTCCCGCAAGGAGGCATCACGGCAGCAGGACCACAGAGAGGAGGATTTTGGGGTTAACCCCCCCACACCAGGCCGTGCCCGGCCGGGCTCGCTGCCACCGGCGGCCCCCCCCCGGCTGCCAGCCGGGCCGGGCAGCGCTCACCTCGCCCCGCACGTCCCTGTCCCTGTCGCTATCGCTGTCGCTGTCGCTGTCCCTGTCGCCGACTCAGCGCTCAGGCAGCCTTACCTTTGCCCCACTTCCCAGCGGGCCCGGGAGGCGGAGCGGGGCGGGACGGGGTGGGACGGGACGGGACGGGGCGGCCGGCGAGGTCGGGGCGGAGGCGGAGGGGAGGGAGAAGGGAAGGGAAGGAAAGGAAAGGAAGAAGGGAGGGAGGCGGAGGGCTGGGGGCCCGCAGAGGGGCTGGAGTTAAAGGACAAAGGGGGAAAGTGCTGCTGCTGGGCTGGGGGGGGGTCCGGGCGCCTTGTCTGCGTGCCTCAGGGCACCCGCTGAGGGGCCCTTCCCCGCTGAGGGGCCCTTCCCAGCTGGAGTCCCCCCCGCGAGCCCCTTGCTTGGGGTTTTCTTTGGGGAGCAGACACGGGTGTTTTGTGCAACACAGGGTGTAGCAGGGCTGTGGGGTTGCCTGCAGGCTGTTAGCAGGGCGTGTGGCTGGGAGGCATGTGGGGTAGCTCAGGGAGGGGAGCGGCCCCACCGAGGGAGTGGAGGTGAACGCGAGGGTGAGAGCAGGGTTTGGAGCAGTCCTCGCTTCTGGAGCCAGTGCTTGGCCACACTGGTGCTGGGCAAGCGACACACGGCCTGCCCTGTCTGACCTGCCACAGTTAACCAGGTTCCTGCATTCAGAGGCTCCTGGCATGCTGGAAGGGCTGCTGCCACCCACACACGCACCACCCACACCTGGCGGTGTGCAACCGGGAGCTATGGCTCAACCCACAGACGTCCTCCTCTCCCCCTGTCCTTCGGTGGGCCTGGCTGCTTGGAAGAGCTTCCAAGACCCTCAGACCTCAAGGACGACCTTTCAGCCAGGGATAAAAAGCTGTCGGACGTGACTCAGCCGTCACGGGCAGGAGAGGGTGGTGCGTGTCATGCTGTCTGCATTGTGCAAGAGGTGGGAGGTATAATCTGATTGTAAAATAAATAATAAATAAATAAATAAACAATGTTTAACAAGGGATTTGTAGTGTGCAATAGTTATTTTTAAGTAGACTTCAGGTTTAATTCAGGTTTCAGTTCACAGCTATAAATCTAGCGTTGTACCAAGCATAACAAAGGCAGAAAACACTACAAATTATTTTTGTAGTCCTTGGTAACGATACCATCTCTTATCATTCTTCCCACTGGCGCTTTAGTAATTGTGAATTGAAGAACACCACTGTTTCATAAACAGAATCACAAATGGCAAACTTTTGCAATACCACCCTGAAGTCTTTAGTTTTAGAAATGGGATTTTAACTATGACATTACGTGAATTTGGACCTACCCAAAAGTTTTCCATCCACACATTTTAAATAACACCAAGGCATGCTAATGCCCTATTTAGACTGTAAAGGTGGAAGCAGGAAGATTTTTTTTTTTTTGCATTGTTCTTCAATATTGTACTTGCATAGGAACACATCTAGCATTGATGCTGTGAAAGCAAAGTAAGGAAAATAAATTGTTCATCTGCTGAATTGCTGCTTAATCCTGCTCTTCTGTTGTTGCTCAAAAGAAGGATTATTGTCTAAATCTCTACATTTCTAGAGCTAGAAGATTAAGGACATAAAATGACATAACGGGGATCACATCTTCTTTCTTTGCTTTTTTTTTTTTTTCTTCCCCGTGGCCTTAGCATCAATTTAAAAACCTGCCACACAGAGAAATTTCAGCACTGCTGTATGTTTTCACTCACTGCTTATCTGAACAGACCTTTGTTCCTTGACTTCTTTGCTTCTATGCATCATACTTCCAGTTACAGCAGTGGCACTTTCTGGTCACTTCCCTGTTGCTATATGCCATTGCTGCCAGAATGGCTTCCATGTTGCCAGTCTCGCCATCCCTCCCCTGAGTTACTTCATTCAATCACCTTTTGCTTTGTGCAGTTACCTGTAAAGCAGCTAGCTACTTGTCGTTTAACACACACAAAAAAAGCTAAGATTAATGACCTACTAAAGTAGCGTTGGTACGCTAAACATCCCCGGAAAGTCATCTGTAGTGTCTTTGTAAGTCAGATGGAAGAGTCAGTTTTTATTGCCCCTTGTGACAAGTGCTTGCTGTTGCAATCTTCCACTTCCTTTTTTTTCAGTGTAGATTTTGTCCTTCTGTCTTAATGCCTTTCCTCTTGAATCCTTGAGCAACTGCCTGTCCCATCTTAGCAGCCTTGCCTTTACAATTTCACCTTTCATGTATGTCATGGCTCTACTCTGTGGAATTCCTCACCTCTCTCTCTCAAGTTAACAATTTCCTCAAAAAATTGAACAAAGGTTATGCAGCTGTGCCATATCAGAACTGACAGCTGGAAATGTAGGGAAGGTTGTATTACTCCTTTTTGTGTTCATCTTTGAAGCACACACATGGGTGCAAGTCTTCCACAAAAAAATTTGTACATTCCTACATTTTTTCAAGTCTTAGTAAAGGGATGGGTAGATAGCTTTCTGGAGAACAGAGGCATATATGTATTTTTTGTCATCTGCCTTTGGATGATAACAACTACGTTAACCTTGTTTGTAATATAATTGGCTAAAAGTGTAGCTCAGAGTGATAATTTGCTGGGAAAAATAAGACCGATGTAGCAAAGAAGTTGAGTATACTGCACAGTTTTCTCCATTAGTTCATAGTGTCTAGATTTAATGAAAGATTACCATAGTCTTAATTTTTCAGGAAGAAAGACCAGCAGTTTCCTGAGCTCAGGAGATACTGAGAAGTGGTTTCCTACAGAATTTTGTCTCATGGTTTATTCATTTTTCTACCCCCTAATTGCAAGATCACACCATTGGCTTTACCTGAATAGGAAAAATTAAATGGATATTAGTCCACAGTCCTACAAATGCTGTAACGGATATCACTATGCCTGTTACAGATGTGCTTTCTCTCTAGTTGGACATCTTTTTTAATTATTATTATTTTCTAAAAAGCTGAAGTACTCTGGAAAATACATATTTTTTACTTTTATTAAAGATGTGATTGAATGTGCACAAGCATGCATGTGATGTAGTAATGCGTAAGGTGGTGATACAGCTGCAGAAATAAGAAATTAACTGGATGACAGTATTTAGGATATCAAAGCATGCTGGTATCAAAGCTGCACAAGCTACATTTCTGTTGTGAAGATGAGGTCAGTAGAGAACCACATTGCCTACTCTCCTACATCCCGCCTGCTCATTTACTACGGATTTGCAGATTTCATGCTGATGCCTTGACTTGTTAGGGCCATCGTGTTCCCAGCTAGGTGTCTCAGATACTTTCCTGGCTGTAAGCAGTCCAGTGGCTTTGATAGTGGATTCTGTACCTGCCAGCTAGGTGGATCATTTGACTCACAGGCACCGTATCCCAATTTTATTCTTATCAATGGGCTGGTGAATAGACTACATTAAATCTAAATTCAATGAATAGACAGCCCACTTGGGTATGGGATCACTTTTTTGCCTGGCTTTCAGAATCTGCAAGCAACCATGTATACATGTATAAGATGTGTCTAGTATCTAAGTTTTACAATGCCTAGATACGTGAGAAGCCTCTGTGCTGCTGGACTACCCAACAGATGAGTTCCATGCTCCTGCAGTTCACAAGTACTCATTTCATAGTCTGAGTCCCATAAAAATATTTTCATTTGGGAAATATCAGAACAGCCCTGTGCTGCAAGCACTCAGTCACTCAGTGCTTCTCTACTAATGGCTTTCTGTTCTCCACAGGGTGGGGTTGTTGGATCTATTTCTATGTTTGTCCTAGTGTTTGGTCAATGCACATTTTGTTATTGCGTGTGTATTCCAGGGCAGTTTGTATTTGTCCACCTGTCACAAGGCGAGGCCATAACAACAAGTAAAGCAAATGTAAAATCTCATAATGCCCTGAAAGCCTATGTCTCAAAAGTGTGGTTAAAAAGTAATGTAAAATATCTTTAGTATACTGCAAGACCGTATCGGTGTCCATTTTGGACTCCCCTATACAAGAAGGATATTGTCATACCAGGAAGAGTCTGACTGGGGTCCCCAAGATTGTGGCTGGAATGTGTAGGATGTACAATGATTGATGTGCAAGCAGAGGCTTAGAGAGCTGGTTTTGTCTTAGGAGAAGAGAGCTAAATGAAGATTTAACTAATACCTTCACCTACCTAATGGAAAGGTATGAAGAGGGCAGTGGCAGGCTCTACTTGGGTGTACTCTGCAAAAGGACAAACAGAAGACACGAGCTGCAGCAGGGGATTAGAGGGAAAGAAGTATCTTCACTGTGAGCATGAAACACTGGAACAAGGTTACCCAGGGAGGTTGTGGTGACCTAGAGATATCCAGAAGTCAACTAGACATGGCCCGAGCAACCTGACCTAACTTTCAAGTTAAATCAGACTTCAAAGATGGCCCTCTTTTGTCTGGGAGTTTGGACTATATGATCTTTAGAGGTCTCTTTCAACCTAAATTATTCTTTGATTTATCAGACTGCCCTTTAAGTCTTTTATACAACTATTGATAGAATTTTATTTTCAGTATATTCTAAATGTAAAGAGAGTAAAAGAATATACATTCCAACAGGGAATATTTTCTTAAAACAAAATGCAGATGTTTTTTCTCCCATTGAGCAATTTCTTTGCCAATAGTTAACAAAGAAGTATTCTTTTGACTGTGAATGCTCTCAAGAAGATTTTTTTCTACCATTAATTGATCATATCACGTAGCTAACTTAAAATTTATAGCTAATAAAAGTTTTTTTTTTTTTTTTTTCATGAAACTTTACAATCCAGGAAAGTCTTGATTACGCAGAGGAATTCTTATGTATCCTTATCTATCTTCAGTGTAATAGAGTCTAAATTAGATCTTAGGTAAAAGACCAAAAGATGGGAGCAAATGAGAGATAAAGACAATTTAGAACTAACCCATTATTTTTTTTTAGAATTCCTACCTTCCAAAAAATGACATTTCCCTAAGCAGACATGCCTAGATTTCACTTAAATTCAGTTTCAGCTGAATGTTTGCACAGGGAAATCACCTGCTCATGCAATAATTCTTTCATGTGTCATTTTTACTTTTTTCTGTATTACAGTGAAATCAGCTGAAGGTGTCTTGCAGACCGGTAAGACAGACTCTGCACTTTTGTTATTATTGTTTCGTTTGCTTTGTTTTGTTTTGTTCTGGTTAAGTAGGAGTTATTAAATAATACTTAAGGGCAAATTGCTCCATTAGGTTAGCACATACGTATCTTTTATATCCAAACCTTGGGATTGTATATGTAATCACAGCATGCATCTTTCCAGCTAGTTTAAATGGAACAAAGCTTGCAAAAAATGCCACAAATCCTTGTCCCTTTCCTTGTATCAACAGGACAATGGTGAAACTGTGTGGAATCAGCTGACTAATTTAGCTGAAAACTAAACTACAAGGCAAGTGTTAGTTTTCAGCCTGATGAACTGCTCTTACTACTAGGCCATGTGGTTGTTAGTGTTGACAGAAAGATTGGGGTAGAAAACTATGCTCTGGGAAGCTGTGAAGGGCAGGATTACCTCTGTCATTGTTACCAGGAACAAATAAAACTGAGGGAAAATATGCATCTCCTGTCTTTTCCCTAGGTTACTCCCTAAACCTCAGTTCCACTGTTCCTTATCCTTGCTTATCCTACAGGTTTTGCATCATTTAGACTTGATTTGTGGCCACTGTTGCAGCAGGACCTGCTTTACTACTTCATAAGCATCCTAACTACGGTGATAGGCAGCTGGAGGTCCCTCTGGCCTGTGTGCCAGGCCTTGGTAACCTCTCCAGTTGTTTTTTTTCTGTAGATTATCTGCTGTTCATCAAAACAAAGTTGTAGCTGAGTCCCAGCTCTACAGAAGGAGGAAATACAGACTTCTTTGCCTTCATTCATACAGAGATGTAAAATGTTTTAATAAATAAGAACTTTGCAGCAAAGGCAATTTCCATTTTGAATAGTGTTATAATAGTGTTGTCACCAACCTGTAGTTAATCCTGTCTCTAATAAATCTCACCCCATTACTGACTTTTTGACAGGAATCTCATCTTTTTATTAGCCTATTTCTGCTTGTGTCAACGAGTTGAGCTGGTCACAGTTTGAGGCCTGCTTTGGTACATGCATGAGCAGGGAAGAATTTGTATGAGCAATTCACGGACATCAGTGAACTCTACAATCCCTGAATTCTTGCCTTTTTAAGAAGGGGGTGTCTATCCATCTTCCCTGGAAAATATAAAATACAGGCCAAAGATGATGTGAGGGATCACAGTCTGCTTTATGGCCTTCTTGTCACATCCATCCATCTGTGAATTCATGTCTACAGCATGAACTGTTCATTTGGGTAAATTTTTGGGTAAATATTTTTTTAACCAATTTCTCCTTTTGTCCCGGATCTAGGGATATCAGAGTTGGAAGTTAAGTGGGACGATGAGGCCTACTTGTGATGCTGGGAAAGCTGTAGGTGGTGCTATGGAGCACTAACAGCCCTAAAGGTAACAGATACAGATAAACAGATAAAGGTAACACCTGAATAAACAGATAAACAGATAAAGGTAACACACTTTTACAAAGAGAAAGGTATAGAAAAATAGCCAAAGTTCTTATGGGAAGCCCCTCAGCATATTTGCTCTCATGTGTCCTACTTGCGGGTGGCTAGTGCAACAGCAGTGCCCGAGGGAAGGAAGATGAGATACTTGTAAGCTGTCACTGTCTGACTGAGCTGAGCCCAGCAACCGAGAAAGGTGTGCTTAGTTAACTCTACTGGCAGCCAGCTGCAGGTGGCAATTGCTATGCTGCCCAGTCAATATTTACTTTTTATTTGTTGTGTGGTTGTTCATGCACTACATGCTAACTGACATTAGGAGAAAATTAATTTTCTTAAGTGATTACAGCTAGTATTCAAGTAATGCACACAGATTTCTATTAGTTTATTGTTTTTTGTTTGTTTGTTTGTTTGTTTTGTTTTGTTTTTTAACTTTCTTCTTCCAAGTCATACTTCTTCCAATTCCCATTGAAATTGCTGTATTTCCACTTTATTTGTTGTGCCAGAGCTGCAGAACTACTGAAGCAAAAGGTTCAGAGTGAATTGAAGCTGCACTAATATTATGGCTCTTCCTGTCATCCTGTGTGGTCTTCAAATACATTTTGTTTGTTTTACTTCTGTCTATGCAAGGACTTGCTTTTGTCCTGGCTTTGCATTCATTTGGGAGTTGGCATCCAGTCCTGGTTGGTGCTTTCCTTGCCAAACACATATTTGTTGTCCTGATTATAGATATTGCTAATTATGTATCTTTTCTCCCCCATCAACAAATTATCATGGGATATCAGTTTTTCATCTGTCATTTTTCCTTGATAAACCACATGCTGCATGTCTGTCCTTAGGCTACGATAAATACAAACTATTATAAATCAATTTAATCCTTTTTTTGGTGAACTAAATCCCAATCTCTTCACTATTTCATTTGGCCAGAATGGTCTCCCCGTGACATTTCCTAATGATTTGTGATGAGATTGCATATTTACTCCATGCACTGGTGGAATTGCTACCTTCTGGGGTGTTCAGTCTCTTCATTTTCTATAAGAGCTCAGCTTTTTATGTCTGGAAGGGCTATCTTAGCAGAGACTTTGTATGGTACTACTCCTGGGCATCTGTTGCAAGCCTCTCCCTGTAACTTTAGTTGCTTTATATGTTTACTGTACATTAGCCTAATGCCTCACTTTTTTATGTATTCAGATCAGGTCTGCCCTTTTCACACTTTGGTTATCTCTGTCAATCACTTAGTTCATTCACTTAGGCCTTGACATTTCTTTAATTGCCCTCAGTTGTCCAGGGTCCAGTTGAACTCCCTCAGAGCTCAACAGATGCCTGCCATAGTTGTTTATAGGTTTCTTCTGCTTCAGTTACTTTCTGTCCATCCTAAAATAGTGTCTTCAATGCTTTTAGGAGTTGCTGGATTCGTGGCAGTAGATTGTCTTTCTCATGCAATCTCCTGCTGCTGCTGCTGCTGTAAACTTCAACTTTAGGCTTGGAAGTCCTCTATTCCCCCATTGTCATTTTCTTGTGCATTTGTAGAAAATAATATGTTCTCTCTCATAAGCTCTCTACTAGCTATGTCTTGCATCTGATCCGGTGGTATAAGCAGAAGTTTGAGTGAGAGTATTTAGTATTCTGGCGGCATTCATCTGTCCCAGTCTCCCCAGGAGATCCTAGGTTGCTGATAGCATCTGATCCCCAGGAGCACAATGTACTAGCCAATACGAAGCCCTCACATTGTGACCACGGCGTGTTGTTCATGTGCCACTTCTTTCAAGACTGAAGAAATTGTAACTGGCCTATTGAACAAATGCAGTGCTTTATTCAAATCAGGCACTGGTCTTCTGTGTTTACATTTTCAGCCCCTACAAAACTGTCCAGCAGTGGTGTGAGTGCTGTTATTCTGAACAGGGTTCTTCTAAATGGTTGGGTTTTCTTCTTTCCTTTATAAAGGCTTTTTCTTCAGTTAGGCTTTGGGCCTCCGCTCTTAAAACTGCTCTAGCTTCTGTGCTGTCACTGGCATGCTGACATGTGCTGCTTACAGCACTGGGGTTGACGTGGAGCACCCTTCTGCAATTGCTTTACATCACACCTAACACGTGGCGCTCTAGTCTCCTTTGGGGACTCGTGTATTTCAGTCCCTGCCTTTTTTCTGGTGCCTAGACTCCTCCCCTTAAACCTGAAAAAATACTTAAAGCAAGCACCTGTGCCACCCGGGTGCATATCCCTTCCTCACTTGCAAGACGGGCTTTGCCCTGTATCTGCTAAGACGTAACAGTTCTGGGTCTTGCTTCTTGTTACGCAGCACTGACAAGTGGATCGACCCTTGGGCTGTCGTTTTCTGGCGCTTGTGTCCTTCATAATTATTCAGGTATTTTGCATCTAAAGTAAGCTGGATGGTGATAAAATCTGCATGAGTGGCAAGTGTGAAAGGCTCTCAGTGACTAGTGATATATCTTTAAATAGCTTAAGGACTTTGACAAAATGTGCTTCTTTCTCATGCCTGAAATTTTTGTGTCATCTTTAGAATCAGTTTGAGATTTTTCTTAATTTTCCATCAAGTTAAAAGGTTTCCAAAATGTTTGAGTGTGTGTCTTTTTGTGGAAAAAGTGACTGTGTAACTGGGAGTAATGGTCCTGACACTAAATGAACCTACCCGAGGAATTACATCTTCCGCAGTGCTGGTTCCACCATTCCTCACTAATTTCAAAGCTCACAGGCTTTTGCCTATTGACTTTTGCTCCAAGTTTGTTCATCTTGCTTTTCTTGCAGTTCCTTTGATGTGATTCTTAACAGATGTTGGCACACTTCCCAGTTTAAACACACCTGAAATTTAAGAAAATTTCAGCCACAGCAACATCACAGTAGATTTTCTTCTCTGTTGGTTGCATTAAAAGGAGTATGAATTGCTACCTATTCTGATCCAGTTGCATTTCTCACACTTTTTGTGCAGGTAGAAAGGGCTGCATGTAGATATGTAGGTGTATTTATGATTAATCTGCCCTTGCATATACTGAGCTATGTTCACAGGGAAAAATAATATCTGCAAGGATTTTCAGCATCTTGGAAATGTGTTTTGTTATTTTTTTCTGCTTATTTTTATCTAGTAAATACTAGTTCTCCAGTCTTTTTCACAGGAACATGTGATTTTATTTTAATGGTTGCAGGTTTTTTATTATTCTGTTTCTCTGTTGCTTCTAAGTAATTTATTTTTACTAGGTTTTTGTGTTGTTCATGGTGGTTTTTTGACAGAACACAGCCTGGTACACGGTAAGTAGTAGGATGTCACCTGAGTGCTCACGTCAGCGAATCTAATCAGCAATAAAGAAGAGAAAAGGAAAGGAAAATAAATCAGGAAAGAAAAAGAATGGTTTAGAATCCCTTTTCAGATAGTGAAGACAGTGTCTGGTGCTAACGACAATGCAGTTGGCATATTTGATGCTATTTTTCTTCTCAGTATGAAGGGAGAAGTAGTTATAAGCCTTGCTTCAGCTGTCACTTTTGTCTGTCAGGAAAAAAAAGCACTAAAGCTGCTGTGATAAAACTGAACGTGGTTCTGGTACCTACACCATCTCAAAAAGGTTACAACAAAATCAGATGCCAGAGAAGGGTAAGGATCATGGTCATGAGTATGGAAGCACTGCCATATGAAGAAAACCAAAGTAAACCAGGCCTTTTCATTCAAGAAAAAGAACTGACAAAAGAACTGGAACATGACAGAAGATCTCAAAAATACTTAGAAGCAAATGCTGAGAGATGCACCATTCACTTTCTATACTAATCTGAGGGCACCTAATTCAGTTGTAGGAGTCCTGTTCAATACAGAAAAGGAGCTCTTTACGCATGCAGAGGCTAGTAGATCATTGCAAGAGGATGTTGTGGATGTTAACCACACCTAAGGGGAGAGTGGATAAATGCATGGAAGAGAAATTCATAGATGTTTCCCATATATGAAGAAACTGCATCCAGCTATTCCCTGGACATCCATTTTTACTGCTGTTGGAAATAGAATACTGAACCAGGTGGTCTTTATGTTTTCTACCTCTTCTATTTGGGTATGCTCTAAAAGCCCGTGTGTTTAAAGGGTCACCTTGAAAACCCAGATTGATATCTTTTGCTGCTTGTTCTTTGTCATCAGTGACTCAAATAGAAGAAAATATTACAAAAGATGTTGCCCAATGCTATTCCATCACCATTTATAAAAGCAGAACCTGGTTTCCACAGTCGCATGAAGATTATCTCATAACTGTCTATTGCCATAGCACAAGCAGTTCTAATGACAGAAAATATTAGCCCATTGTTTTAAATCTTACTTCATTCATTTTAATTTTCCTGTACCTGAAGAGTCTTGTTCTAGAGTAATGTGATGTTTTCTTGTTTCGTTTGTTGTTGTTGTTGTCGTTTTTTTGTTTTTTTGTTTGTTTGTTTTTCTCTTAGGAATGGATAAGGTGATTGCCCGTCCATACAAAAGGCCAAATGCTCTCTGTAGGCTGATTTGCTTTCCCTGGGCTGGAGGTAACTGTTCTTTCTTTATTCGATGGTGCGAAGCCTTCAGCAGCATAATTGAAGGTTGGTCAATTGTGTAGTTAAAGACTTTAAGAAAGCCAGGGTCTCTGAAATGCACAGTTGCAGAATATAATGCTCTTGACAGCTGTGCAGTCTTTCTCCAGTGGATATTATATTCAGAAAGGAAGTCTACTAGGATTCCACATTTCCATTGGGATGCTGGGTATACTAAGCTTCTGTACCACTTTGGATCAAATTATATTTAATTAAGTTAAAAAGCGACATCCTGAGAGATAAATTTCACAGGACTATAGTATGCTTGTCTGCCTTGGAAACTGCTGGTTTGATTCAAGAAAGGGTAATGCAGTAAAAATATGCTACTGCATATTTCAAAGGCATCAGCAGTGCCTTATATCCTTATATAAGAACAGTGAAGTCATAAGAATTGTTTTTTAATGTTGAGAGGCTGCACAGAATGAAATTCAGTTTATCAAGCATTTTTGTGTGGATAGAAATACTTCTAACAAAGTTACTAAGAAGATAGCCTAGGAATGACTGCAGAGCCAGAGGAATAAAGTCAGGGAGCAGCACGCTCCTTCAGATCCTTTAATTGTGCTGAAATAAAGTATAAAAGACATGAACATTTTTGTACTACTGTCTGTGGTATTATGTGGTGGCTTATTCTGTCTCTTGTAAAATACTTCACGTTTCACCTGTTATGTCCGTGCTAGTTTGGCAATGTGTTCAATGTCAAGGAAATTTCAGAAAATCACCATTTTTACTGATCTATTGATTACTTATTTTCTCTAAACAGTGAGAGGAAAAACTCCTAATTTTGAAAGGGGTGTAAAAAGATAAGATATGCCCTTTTGTATAGCTATTAAATCCCATCAGTTTATACAATTTTGCATTTTACTGTGTGCAGCACTGAAGAGCCTTCAAAGAGGAAAATGGGAACTGTATGATCCTAATACAGTTTGTTAACATTCTAATGTTGCCCTTGAAATGATATTTTTTACACAACCCTCAGAGTTGGTTTTATTGAAATCGTTATTTTTATTAATGCCTACAGCAATAAAATTGTTTCAAAACCTCAGCTGAGATCATGACCTTGTTATCATTTTAACTGGATTTCTGACTTAAGGCATTTATAAATTTGATCAGTGGGAGAGGCAACACTTGTCAGTTAAGGAAGGAAACCTGATCTGTCTTTAATCACAGGATTAAAATATAGCAGTAGCAATAGCAAATACACTGTATCAACTACAAAAAGGATTAATTTAAATAATCTGTATACTCTGCAGAATAGAAAATTTAGTAAAAATGATGTTACTGTTTTTTCTTGAAATGACTGTAATTCTTTTCCCTCCCTTCCTCCATCTCTTCTGTAGTGTCCGTTATAAGGCTTGCTGGAAGAGAATGTCGTGATACGGAGCCTTTTCCAGAAGACATGGCAGAAGTAGTTAATGAAATTACAAATGCTTTGTTAAAAGATCTGCAAGAAAAACCATTTGCATTATTTGGTCACAGGTAAAGATGTATACGTTTTAGATACCCTGGTGAAGGAACTGTAGGAGTAGATAGTGACTTGTCTTTGTTTGCAGAAACCCTAGGCAGATACACTCTGCAAAGGTCTTTTGTCAAGCCATGCTAAACCATGCTGCTAATCTCAAAGACTCTGGTTATTTATATTTTGATTACTTCAGGCACAATGTCTTCTAAGAATGGCAGTGCTGTGATTTATTTTTACACTAATAAATTATAATTGTTTACTGGTAATATTTGTGTCAGTGCTCACTCTAAAGTGAGAACATAGGGTGAACAAATGCGTAGATTTTGAAGATCACTTAGTCCCAAGTATTCAAAATAACCATCCTTACTGGAATTCAGGAAACTACTAGAATAAATGGGGGCGAAAAACGTCTAATTTGTAAAACTAGTCTGTGTTGGAAGGTACTTTGTGTGAGTTAGCTAAATCACTGTATGTCATTTATACAGAACCATAAAATTCACTAGAGTTACAGTTTCAATAAATGTTCAAGGTAGCCAGTTAGCACTAAAATTCAAATTATGTTCACGCTTTCCAGTTTTTACTTAATTTTTATTATGTTGTTTTAACTTCTCTTTTTGCTGCAGTTTTGGATCTTTCGTTAGTTATGCACTTGCAGTACACTTGAAAGAGAAGCACGGATTAGAGCCGGTCCATATGTTTTTCTCAGGGTCATATGGCCCACATGTAAGTTATAAATTCATTAACAACAACAACAAAACAAAACAAAAAAACAGTGTATTAGATGGCATGAGTAAAACACTTGTGAATTTCACATTGCAGAGTATTTACTGTGGCTATCCTTAGCCTAGGGAGAATGGTCTCCTTGAGCTAATGCTATTTTTTCTGAATGCTCTATTATTTACTCTGGTCTTTGGCTTAAAAAAGCAATGAAAACAAAACATAAAGTGACACTTCCTGCTCCATAACATGTGAAACAACTGTCTTAGTCTAGCATTTTATAAATCTCCTGCACCAGCCCTCGGTACATTTGACAAGGTATTTCTTTCCCTCCTCATTCTCTGTTGCCATTGTAATCTGTTCTCAGTTCCCTCTGCTTCTGAGTTTCTGGTGATTCTGTTAGTCTTTCTCAGTAAAACAAATGAGCTGGCTTTTTCCTAGCCATCTTGTCCTCAGTCATCATTTGCTCTTTCCATTCTTCTGTTCATGGTGTTTATTACCAATGTTGTTCATTGAGCTAGCACTTCATGGAAGACATGATTCCTGAAAATTTCCCTAATCTGTGGGTCTCTCCAGTCCTACATTAGTTGGCATTGTATCTACTGCAAGATTTTTCTTTCTATTATATGTTTTATTAATTTTCTTTCAATAGTGAGATTCAAACTTTGGACAAAAACACATTAAATGTTATCTGTCTGGAAGTCTCAAAACATAGTGTTTGTCTCAGTTATAATCAGTTAAAAACCAGTCTACTAACCCTACCCTGTACCTGCAAATGTTAAGCTAATCAGCCATTGTGTATTGGCAATAGAGAATCTTCATACTTTTTTTACTAAAGCAATTATTAGTGAAAATACTTTTTAATGTGGTGTATGTTAGGGTGTATTATTCAGTATTATTTAATATGGTGTATATTTTATATGTCACCCCATCTGTTTTGTCTGACAGAGTGAATATTTTCATCTGATGTACAAATTGCCTGAAGTAGAAGATAGTCGCTTGCTTGAACTTATACACACATTAGGAGGAACTCCTCCTGAGTTTCTGCAAAATGAACAAATCACCAAACATTTGTTACGTGTTTTAAAAGAAGACCAGAAAGTTCTTGTCACATATCCGTAAGTTTTATAATTTTGCATTACGTTTATATTTTAAAGCTTTACTTATGTCTGGTCACTTCAGGTTTTCTTTTTTCTGTCTCTGAAATTTGTTCTAGATTTTGAATTAGATTAGTTATATAAAATAAATAAATAAATAAACAGTAAACATAGTTTCCTCCTTTATGTGTTTTTCTAGTGTTTATACCACAGATGAAAACACTGCTTACAGTAGTGGATACTACTGTTGTTACAGTCATGAATATATCACTGTAGAATTACGATTCTACTTAAGATCCAAAATTAGTAGCCACTACAAGGACTCTACATTCACACCTTTTATTGTTTTCTGAGAGTTGTAAGATCAGCTAATCATGCTTCAGGATCATGCTTCTGATCCTGATCAGCCTCCTGATCCAAGGGCCCCTAACCTATCTGGAAGCAAAGAATCCCTTTATTCTAGGAATCAAGAGGGTAACCAGCTTCTTCTGTCCCACTTACTGTCTCCAGTGGACCTTAACCACTCAGCTTATGTAGCTGAGTGGTTAAGGTTTCTCATCCTGGCAAAGAGAAGGACCCATTTTGGCCCTTGCAACCTGACATTGCTAAGGGCCTGAAACATCAGAACTTGGATATAAGCAGACAACATAATTGTTTATTATCAGTGAGAATTTTTAATGCAGGTTGAATTTCTTTTTTTTTTTTTTTCCTAACTGCTAGGTCATATTTTCTTTAAAACTCGAGACATAAGTGCAGTAAGGTAAGGGGCTAAGACTCTTACAGATACAGAAAGTCATTTTCCTGATGTTCTGCGCAACTTAATCTATAATATTTCTGCTATGTTATAAATTTTCTGTTGTGTTTTTGAGTAGAAAGAAAAAGCTTTTTATATGTGGAATCAAAACCCAAACATAGGTATCCTATGGAAAATTGTATAACTTTTTTGTGTTCACAGTTGGCACGATGTAAGAAAGAAATACTTCTCTTGTGATCTTACCTGCTTTAACGGGTCTGATGAAAAAAACCATGGCTCAGAAGGTACTTTACTTAAATGGCTTTCCTCTCATACTTAGGCATTTTCCTGATATAACAAATCATTAAATGAATGGAGTTCTTCTGAATCTTTTACCACCTTCTTAAATGAAACAGAAATATACAGAAATACGGAGAAAAACAGTTGATATGTGATTTAAAATAATTAAATAATAATTTACTTATGTAAAATGACCACAATAGTTTACATTTCTTTTATATTTTAAATCTTTTTCAGCCTGGATTGCAATAACCAGTGGAGATACTTCCATTTACAGTCTTCCTGGAAATCACTTTTATCTAATGGAGCCTTCTAACGAAACTTTCTTGATAAAATACATAACTAAATGTATAGAAAATTCTGACATATGAGTATTTCCCTCCATTTTAATAATAGAAGGTGTAAGATAACTCCACAGAACTTAATAATTAAGTCATTCTTTCTGTTAAATTGCATTCAGTTATGCCTAAATGTAACTCTGTTCCTCCAGAACATTTTTATTGTAATCATTTAAAAGAAGTTGTTCTGTTACAAAAATAAACATTGTCTTCATGTCTTAAAAGTAAAAACTTTTCATCTTTTCCTTCTTTTCATCTCACACATGCACAAACCCTTCACTGTATTCAATAACATCATTTGCTAAAAAAGACAGCTGTTGTTTTACTTTTAGAGCTTCTCTGTATGCTACTGTAAAAATGCTAAATGTAATTTAACACTCACAAAAATCCACAATTCTTAAAAGAAATATCTATTTAATAGGTTCAAATTTATTTAGAATAAGATGTAGTCCAAAAATACAGTATATGTGTAAACACCCTTTACCATGCAATGGTTCACACTTAAAAGATTTTACTGTCAGACTACTACAGTTATTTTTCTCAGCAGAGTTAGTTCATTAGCTACCGAAGAGTTAGTTAGTAGTGGGAATTACTCTGAGTATTCTAAATCCCATATTTTTCTACCATTGTTTTTGCTTTAGAAATATAAGCATTCATGGCATCCTCCTTTGATATACCTGCAAAGAAAAGTAGGAGTAATTATTGGCTTGTATTTGCAGTTCTATTTAAGTGATTACGTGTGGTAAATTTAATTGCTTTAACACCTTTTTTCAGGTTCCATGCCTCCCATTTGGCTTTGCCTTTCAAATCTAGCATTCCTGGGCACTCTGCCAAAATAAATGCATACCTTTATTGATTATCATGCAGGTTTATACAACATTTGCTTGATTGCAAGGTATGGGTGTAAATTTGCTGTTATATATAGTAACAGGAATACCAATATTAATATCTCCAACTGTAGCCTGTTTGTAGAATCCATACAGTTCCTTCAGTTCTTCATCTGTTGGTCTTGTTTTTAATTTTTTTACTTCTTCTGCAGCCTCATCAAAGTCAGCCTGATGCAAGAAAAAAGAAAGTGTTAGTGTGCCTCTCAAGAGGTGTGCTTGAAACATTAATTTTAACGTGCACAGTAGTTCAATAGATAGGCTCTATTACTCACATAGTTTTAGTAGTAAGTCTATGTATTTTCTCCACAAAAGAAGTTTAATAAAGCTGTAAATTATTAGAAGGTGAACTTGGCCTACTTATTTAATAGGATCAGCATAGCTAAAATGAGTAAACCTCTTTTTTCCAACAGTTTTCTATCTAACCACTTGGAACCATTACAGACTCTCTAGTGTCAAAATGGTCACAGATTGTAGTGGGTTTACATGGCAAGGTTTTAGTAGTGGAGGGCTGCAGGGGTGGCTTCCCTCAGTATGTTTGCAAACACCAAGCTGGGGGGAAGTGTCGATCTGCCGGAGGGCAGGAAGGCCCTGCAGAGGGACCTGGATGGGATGGGTGGATGGGTGGAGGTCAATAGGATGAGGTTCAACATGGCTCAGTGCTGGGTCCTGCACTTTGGCCACAACAACCCCATGCAGTGCTACAGGCCTGGGGAGAGTGTCTGGAAAGCTGTGCAGAGGAAAAGGATCTGGGGGTGCTGGCTGATGCTCACCTGGACATGAGCCAGCAGTATGCCCAGGTGGCCAAGAAGGCCAACAACATCCTGGCTTGTACCAGGAATAGCGCAGCCACCAGGAGCAGGGAGGTGATTGTCCGTCCCTCTGTGCTCTGTTGTGGTGAGGCCACACCTCAAGTGCTGCGTTCAGCTTTGGGCCCTTTGCTACAAGAAGACAAGGACATCGAGGGCCTGGAGCGTGTCCAGAGAATCATAGAATCATAGAATCATAGAATATCCTGAGTTGGAAGGGACCCTTAAGGATCATCAAGTCCAACTCTTGACACCGCACAGGTCTACCCAAGTTCAGACCATGTGACTAAGTGCACAGTCCAATCTCTTCTTAAATTCAGTCAGGCTCGGTGCAGTGACCACTTCCCTGGGGAGCCTGTTCCAGTGTGCAACCACTCTCTCTGTGAAGAACCCTTTCCTGATGTCCAGCCTAAACTTCCCCTGCCTCAGCTTAACCCCATTCCCGCGGGTCCTGTCGCTGGTGTTAATGGAGAAAAGGTCTCCTGCCTCTCGACACCCCCTTACGAGGAAGTTGTAGACTGCGATGAGGTCTCCCCTCAGCCTCCTCTTCTCCAGGCTGAACAGGCCCAGTGCCCTCAGCCGTTCCTCGTACGTCTTCCCCTCCAGGCCTTTCACCATCTTCGTAGCCCTCCTCTGGACACTCTCCAACAGTTTCATGTCCTTTTTATACTGTGGTGCCCAGAACTGCACACAGTACTCGAGGTGAGGCCGCACCAGCGCAGAGTAGAGCGGGACAATCACCTCCCTCGACCTACTAGCGATGCCGTGCTTGATGCACCCCAGGACACGGTTGGCCCTCCTGGCTGCCAGGGCACACTGCCGGCTCATATTCAACTTGTTGTCTACCACGACCCCCAGATCCCTCTCTTCTAGGCTGCTCTCCAGCGTCTCATCGCCCAGTCTGTACGTGCAGCCAGGGTTTCCCCGTCCCAGGTGCAGGACCCGGCACTTGCTCTTATTGAACTTCATGCGGTTGGCGATCGCCCAGCTCTCCAACCTATCCAGATCCCTCTGCAAGGCCTTTCCACCCTCATTCGAGTCCACAACTCCTCCAAGTTTGGTGTCATCAGCAAACTTGCTCAAAATGCCTTCTATTCCTACATCCAGATCGTTTATAAAAATATTGAAAAGTACCGGCCCTAAAATGGAGCCTTGAGGGACCCCACTGAGAAGGGCTGCAAAGCTGGTGAAGGGCCTGGAGCACAAGGCCTGTGAGGAGCGGCTGAGGGAACTGGAACCCCCTGTGGAGCAGGTGCAGAGAGTGACCGTGAAGGAGCGGCAGAGATGAAGCACCAGGGACTGACGGCAGCCCCAATTTCCCATTCCCCTGCGCTGCTGGGGGGAAGGAGGCAGAAGAGGGTGAATGGGAGGGTAAGGTGTTTTAGTTTGTGTTTTTAGTTTCTCACTGCTCTAGCTTGTTAGTAATAGCCAATAAATTTCTCTGATCTCCCTACTCTGAGTCTGTTTTGCCCATCACGATAACTGTTGAGCGCTCTCCCTGTCCTTATCTCAACCCTTGAGCCCTTTTCATCATATTTTCCCCCTCTTTCCCTTTGAGGAGGTGGAGTGAGAGAGTGGTTGTGGTGGAGCTTGGCTGCCCACCCAAGTAAAACCACCACATGGATACATTCATGTAATGTGTGCAATGAAAGCAGTGCGTATGTCCTTTGCATTCGTGGTGGGAGCATGAAAAGGCACTGAACTTTACAGAACAGCAGTAATCTCCAAATCATTTTGGCCTCATAGCATTGTGTTGGCTCTAATGAAGGAGCTCCCCTGTGGAGCCAGTACCTCTGAGAGGTACTGCATACTTCGTCCTTCATTTCTACCTCTATGATGAAAATGCATTAGCTAACCAGCTGTCAGCACACCCATACCTCATGGAGACTGGAGCAGCGCAACTGCCAGGACAGCCTTCCACACCCAGCTCTCAAACACTGTAGAGCACCAAGTAAAGCATAAATTAAGGCTGAAATACCCCTTTCATCTTCTCATGTCTCACACTCACATCAACCCAAGGCTATAGCTGCTATTCTGTCTATAACCTAAGTCTCAAATTAGCCTTTAGTATAGAGTTTGTACTCTGTTTCATGCCCAGGATATGTCAGATAGCAAGATTTTTGCATAGCAACTACTGAACTGCCAGTTTACTACCACTGGTATAGTGCAGTAAACTCCTACATAGTACTGTCACATGTACTATGCTGTAAAAAAGGTGCTATATGCTGCTTTCAGTAACTATTGTAGCTTCAGTAACTATTGTAGCTTCTGAGTTGGATATGCCTTTGCAGAAGCACAGTATATCACTCAGAATGTGCTATTACATATATACTTAATGTGTATAAAAGCAGCCTATAGTACATGTAAAAAATCAGCTCTGTATCCAACAATTGTTTCAAGGTGATTCTGAAGTTTTGTTTAAATACCCAAGACCCTGGTGGTATCTCAGCTGACTGTACCATGCTCCTTTAGGCTACTTATTTTTTCTTCTAGGAGAAGGTTTTTTGGTTTTGTTCTAAATAAGAAAACCTATCCTGTATTTGTCTTCTTAATTGATGCTGTTCTGCTTGGCAAATGACTGTGCTGGGTGGAGCAGGTGAAGGAAATAAAATAAGCAAGACCTGTGCTCATTATAGCATTCTTTATTTTAACAGAGTGAAAGCACAAGACGGGCATTTCTGTTTTAAAATAACTAAAGAAAGAAAAGAATTTAATTACTGACTGATGCTCAAGCATATTTCCTCAAAGAAAGGCCCCTTCATGGAGTCACAAACTATACATTCATCGATTTAATGGCACATCAGCTGGTGGCTGGCTGCTTTAAGGCACCAGCAGCCGGTGAAAGAGGTTAAGAACAGGTAGCTGGGGGCACTGATCACAGTGATCTTACACAGACACCTGGCCACTATCCTATCATTATTGTTATTATGGAAATTCAGTTTGTCTAGTGGGTAACGTTCCCGGCCACAACATTTGGAGAAATTTCTAATTTTTGTAAAACTGTCAATTGCTATTTGAAATCAACAAGGAGAAAGCAGAAGTCTTTTAAGAACAACATTGTGAATTTAGATCTTGAGGCCTGCTTACATCTACAGTTTGCCAATGTGTTTTCTTCCCTCCTTTGGCATAGAGAGAGAGTTCTTAGCGAGTCAAGGTCTTAAATTTAAAAGAAAAACAAGAATTCCTTGGCAAAGAAGGTTTGTTATATTTCGAATGCAATCCTCTGTTACAACAGAGCTGCTTTTTCCCCACCTACCCAGTTAGCAACTATAGCGTCACCACTGGTGGCTGTGTCGCCATTTTTAAAAGCAGAACTTATATTGCTTCTGGGTAGATTAGAGATGAGAGATTATCTATGTGGTACTTAGAACAAGACTGTCTTGAACAATCTGTGAACTGTATGAAATATATAAACAAGAAAAGGAGGACTAAGGAGAATCTCCGTTCTTTATTGAATGTGGGGGTAAGCACAGGGACAAGAGATGAAGAACAGGCTGAGGTACTTAATGCCTTCCTTGCCTCAGTCTTTAGTAGCAAGACTAGCTCTCCCTGGATA